TTAAATAAAAAAGAAATTTCTAAGGAAAAAAAGTCTGGCGACTCGAGTTAACTAACCTGAGTACCGCGGGGCGTTACAAAAGAAAAAGAACAAGTGAGAGTAAGAAAAACGTGGTAAGAAACATGAAAGGAAAGAAAACGCACTTACTTTTTCACGAGTCCCACTATAGACATTCATTTTCTTTAAATGGGTGGCGTTAGCATCTTGGAGGGTGGTAGCCTACATATTAAAGTGACTTCGTGAAAACGATTGTCGACATCATTTTATGTCGGGTTGCTACCTAACAAGTTTCTATGAGTGGCTGTGGTTTGAAACCGATGTTAGTGTGTTGAAAACCTCAGGGGCTAGTAGTCGGTCCACGTGATGTTAAAATTTTTGAATCAAAACAGAAGTGTGCATATTCCATGGTTTTGTAAAAGTGTTTTGTCTTTTAGAAAAGAAGAGGATTTAGAATCGTTTTTATTTTCAAAACAAAGGATGGTTTATTGTTTGTTGGCCTGAGATTCAAGTTAGGACGTTTAGTTTGTGGAGCCTTTCCTGAGACTTATATGGTTCATTAACTTAGAACATTTGGATTGTTGATCATTCATATTTCTAGCATGTTGATTGTTTTAAATTTGTTGTCGTTGTTTTGCTTGAGGACAAGCAAATGACTAAGTTTGGGGGTGTGTTAGGGTTGACTTTTTACTGTAGAAACATGTGTCGGTAGCCCTGTTTGACCACGTTTTTGACCCATTTCCCATTATTATTTGCCAAAAAAGACCACATATTCTTAAAGTAGAACATGTATAGATTATTTCTGCATAAAAGTCAAACTATTTCTGCATAAAAGTCAAACTATGGTACTTTAGGAAAAATATGAGATAAATGCGGTCAAAATTGGAAGAAAATAACAGAATTATGTTTTTTGCTGAATTGCGCCCGGCGCATTTTTGGAGGGCAATTTGTCAAAACGCACGTTTTGATTAATGAAGGGCAAGGAAGACATTTCCCACATGTTCAAAACAGTGAGTCCAAGTCCAAGTGAGGTGGTTAGGTGAATGTCAACCCTTTTCCACCTAAAATGGAGGGAAGTTTCAACGAACCTATGGTGCTATAAAAGGAAGCCATCCATCCCTCAGCAAATCATCCCTTTCAAGCTTCATTTCATCTTCTTTTAGATGCTCTCTAGTTGTAGAACACGTTTTTAGGGTTTATGTTCATGTTCTAGTTGTTCATTTCTTTGTTTTTCACGCTTTTACCTTTTGTATTGCTTTTAATTCAAGTTCTTACTTCCGTTCTTTGTTCATTCTGTTATTTTAAAGCTCTTTAGCAAGTTTCAACTCCCCTCATGCTCGAGAGAGAAGAGGGTCAAGCTAGAACTCCTTGTATGACTTATTTATTCATTTAAATTCAATGAAAAATACTTTCTTTATGTTTTCGTGCATTTACTTTCATTTAATTATGTTTTAAATTAGTTATCAACCTCCTTGTGGAATGCCTTAGTGAAATGATTTGATTTTCAACACGCTCGGGATTTTGGCCAAATTGCGCCGGACACTTTTTTGGGTTGGTTTCTAAAAATTTCTCTTTACGTCTTTTTTCCATTCGGCCGGTGGGAACATGATTTATACACCAAAGCCCAACCTTGGGAAATGTGAGTTAGGTCAAATAATAGGAAACCAATATGGGATGTGACTTAGGAATAAGCGTAGAGAATATGGTCCTAGGCATAGGCCCTTTGACCCATAATGCAAATTAGTTGGTAGATATTCTCTAGGATTGTAATCACACATAGGAATATGATTGTAGGTTACCTTAACCTCTACAGCAACCAAAAGCGGTAGTGAAAGAGTAGAACTCAAATCCCAAGATAATCCAGGAATTGCGCCTGGTGCATTTTCCCAAAATAATGCGTTTTCTATGTTTTGCTTTAAAACCAAGGTAGGAGACAAGGAGGTCGAGTCTTATTAAATTGCTTGTTAGTTAAAACCTCAAATAACAATATTTCATCACATTTTTCTTCCAAAATCACAATTGCATATTTGAATCATTTCACTACATTACTTGATTTTGAAAAGCAACAAGTCTCTGAGGATTCGACCTTGGATTACTTCCGAGTATTACTTTTGACTGTGTGCGCTTGCACGAGTCTCTAATCTTTTTAAAGGTAGAGGAAGTCCCAACATACGACCAAGTACAAGTGTAGCTTGTCTTTTGGCAAGGGTTTCGCGAGTAGTGCTGCCAAGCAGAGGTAGTTCTTGAGCTGCTCAAAGGCCTCCTCACACTCGGACGTCCACTCAAATGGCTCATTCCTTCGTAATGTTTTGGAAAAGGGGAGACATTTGCCGGTAGACCTGGAGACAAATCTGTTCAGAGCAATGATCCTCCCATTCAGGTATTGCAGATGTTTGAGAGTTTTGGTGCTTGAATCTTGAGCACGACCTTAATTTTCTCCGAGTTGGCTTCTATTCCTTGGTTGTTCACCATAAAACCAAGGATTTTCCAGAGGAGACTCCAAAGGGGCACTTAGTCATATTAAGTTTCATCTGGTACTTGCGAAGAACCTCAAAGGTCTCCGTTAGGTCAACCAGGTGCGACGTGGACTTGTTGCTTTTGACTAGCATATCGTCCATGTATACCTCCATGTTGTGTCTGATCTCGTTGGCAAACATTTTGTTCACCATCCTCTGATAAGTTGCGCCTACATTCTTTAGGCCAAATCACATAACCTTACAACATACATGCCTTGATCGGTTATAACTTCCTATTTTAGATTTTTTTTAACTAAAACAACGTTAGAGAGCCATTTGGGATACATATATTTTTTTTATAATCAGCTTTCAAAAGTTTGTTAACTTCCTCAACGATTACATCACTCATCTCTTTATTTACATGTCTTCTCTTTTGCTTGACAGGTCGGAATGAAAAATCAATGTTGAGCCGGTGCACCATTATCTTCGGATCAATGCCAGGCATGTCTTCATGAGACCATGCGAACACGTCCGAGTTGGACCTTAGAAAGGAAATGAGCTCTTCCCTATCAGTGACCCTCAGCTTAGTGCTTATGCTCACTTGCTTCTCTGAGTTGAGCAAGGGAACAAGCTCCAGCTCTTCCATTGGTGGAACAACTTCACGATAACTACCCTTGGGCTGCTTGTCCATGGAAGGTGGGACACTCTGGCCGGGCAGGGTTGTCTCTTCTTCCAGGGCACAAACTGCCGATCCTTTGAGCGTTGTAGCATTCCTGGATGTTTTTTTCTCACCTCGAACCATTTCAACTCCGTTCAGAGTTGAATATTTCATGACTTGATGGAGGGTTGACGGAATGGCCCGGAATGAGTGGATGATCGGTCATCCAAAGATGGCATTGTAAGCTGATTTGCCATCTACCGCCACGAACTTGGCCATCTGTAACACGCCAAGATGTTATATACCATTCTAGGTAATGCTAAATAATCCATCTGTCTAGCCTTAACTCTAAACACGAGATAACCAACTCCCTGGAAAATAATTTAAATAAAATAAAGCTTCGACTCCCATAATTCCACCAACAATATTAATTTTATAAACTGTCAAAACTTCGCTCTCCATGGGCAATTTAAAAAAAAACATCTCATGTCCGCCTCAGTGGCTAAAATTATTAAATAAATAAAACAATCGTACACCTAAACTCCAACGACGACAGTGATGCGTTTAACAATAACATCCATAAAGAAAGAAAAAAAATAGTTCTAAGAAAACAAAATCGCTCCTCAGGTCCACACCTAGCAATAAAATAAATCCCAACGCTACTCGTACCAAAGGACCCTTCCCTCTATCCTCACTAACTCGACTAGTGATCCCTCATTGGTCAAGCCCCCTCCACGTCATCACCACGGTCGGCCCTATTCACACCTGAAAACAAATAAGGATAAAAATGGGGGGTGAGTACATAAGGTACTCCGTAAGTAGCCCTTCCTAACTAACACAAAAATCATGCTCACAGTCACGACATATAAAATAACGGGATGTCAAGACAATTAAATAGTAGCGAGATATAAAAAAAAGGACAATAACTTGACACTTACATACAACAACCATACGTCGGAACTACCAAGACTACAACCATATGATTCACTAGCCCTTGTCCCACAGTACTAAACCTCCCTCTACACACCCATGTGATACTCCCCGTTGAACTTCTCGAGGCATGACGGCTCTTGACATTTATTCCCAAGATACCGCCCCCCCTCCTTTTACAGTACTTGATGTTTGACCTTGCCATTTATTCCCAAGGCCTAGCACCACTACTTCACAAGCACCACTCTACTTTAGTTCTTCAAGCCTAACTCCTCGAGTCGCATTGGCCCTTGACATTTATCCCCAAGGCCTCAATACTCCTCTACAGAAACTTGATGTTCGGCCTTGCCATTTATTCCCAAGGCCTGAACTGTGCACCGGTCCTTGCCGTTTATCCCCAAGGTACCGATGACTTCCCTGATGGAGAAAATACATGCATGCGCAGCGGAAGTGAGCAAGAATCGAAATAACAATCTAGATGCATAATACAACTTAGGATTAAACATGCATGATCATACATTATGATGCTTAGAGATAAGTAGAGAAAAATACAAACCTTTGTAGCTTTTCAAAAATCTTCAAATAGCTCCAATGAAGGACCACCAAGAGATCTTCCTAGCTATTCTCAAGGCTTGGAATAGAGTGGTGGGACTCTTGTTAGAGAAGGAAAAAAATTAGAGAAAAGTGGAGCTAAAAGGAGTTATGTAAGCTTTTTGAAAACAAATCAAATGGCCAAAGGTTCCAAGAGCTCTTGATGTTTGAACAAAAGCCTTCTTAAATAGGCAAATTACATGCAACTCTTGCAGGTCAAAGTTCACCAAAAGCTTACAACACATATTCCACTTATGCATGGCATGGCTAAGTGTCAAAATGCATGTCTAAGTTCACCAAAAGCTTACAACACACATTCCACTCATGCATGGCATGGCTAAGTGTCAAAATGCATGTCTAAGTTCACCAAAAGCTTACAACATACATTTCACTCATGCATGGCATGGCTAAGTGTCAAAATGCATGTTTAAGTTCACAAAAAACTTACAACACACATTCCACTTATGCATG